AATTTGTCTTAAATTAAATCTGCTTCCATCAAGGAGAAGACACAAATATTTATTGAAGCACAGCAGCAGAGTAACTGTTTTGTTCCCAATCAGACAGTTTAAAATATGCACAGTTGCAATCAGTTTCGTTTTGTTTTTGCATTCTCATAACTATTTCCGAAGACTTTTTACTATTTTTTTAACCAAATAAATATGCATTAAAATAGATAATAATTACTAAAATGTTGTGTTTTGGACATTTTGAATAACCAAAATTACTTGATTGAGCATTATGACAATAAAAACACATTTTGAAGTCAGTCTTAAATATACAATATTAGTTAAATGGGCTGTACGTTTATTGTTTGAAGTAGTCTTTTGTTTGATTTTGTTTAAGATTATTTTTTCAGTCTACATATTGTTTGAAGCCTTAATATAGAACATTGTTTTATTCTTCGAACTACTAATTAGAAAGTTTTGCACACAAATATTATTGTTTATGTGTCTGAAGCTCAGTTTTGTTGAGTTTTTTGTTTTAGCGTTTTCATATTGTTCTCATGTTCACAATTAAGAAATGATAGTTCTGAGATATATTTTGTTAATATCATCTTGGTTTTGTTATGTTTCATGTTTACCATTCTTGTTTGAATTCCTGAGTCTTCTATTTTGTTTTCAATTTAGTTTTGCTTTCTGGTTTTGCTTAATTACATCACCTGCATTGTATCACTCATTATCTTCCTTCAGCTTAAAAACTTCCTGGTTTTCTTTGTTCTTCAGCCTCTCTCCCTGTTGCGTTTCTTGCTGTTCTCATGGCAAGTTTTGATTGCCATGTCAGCTTTTAACGTTTAATGGATTCTCTGTTAAAGCAGCAGATTCAGTTACCAAAAATCTGTTGGATTCATTTTCCTTCTGGTTTGTAAGCTTGTATTTTTGTTCTTCTCAACACACAAAAATGAACGCACTTTCCTTATTGTTTTAGTGACTAAGTACCATGTTCTGCAAATTTTGCACACTATTGGGTAGTTTCTGTAACTTTCACGTGATTTATTTAAATAGTCATAACTTAATTAAATAAGACAATATGAGAAAATGGTATATAAAAGTAATTTTGTACCATTGAGTTAAAGGTAGCCCTTTTTGTAAATGACAGAATCGATTGTAGGCCTGATTCTTCTTCTTCTTTCATTGGCAATTGGCAAACATTTTGGTGCTTTACCACCACCTCCTGGAATGGGGTGTGAGTGAATAAACTTTTCAAACATGAAGAAACTTGCCAATCACCCATTCAATCAAATCAAGTGTCCTGGAAGGAAGGAAGGAAGGAAGGAAGGAAGGAAGGAAGGAAGGAAGGAAGGAAGGAAGGAAGGAAGGAAGGAAGGAAGGAAGGAAGGAAGGAAGGAAGGCATTATTTATATTGCACATTTCAAGATAGGGATCACAAAGTGCTTCAACAAACACAAAATAAAATAAAAATAGACAGAGCAAATTTAAACAAATGCAGATTTAAAAGGTGAGTTTTTTCACTGAGCTTTAAAGGAGTCCGCAGAGTCTGTTGATCTTAAATTCAGAATTGGACCTGCCTATGTAAGCAAATATCCTCTCATTAACAGAAGATTTAGCTCATCTGTAAAATGGCACAGTTGCAGCAGCAGTTCACATAAATAACAGAAACCTATTACCACAGTACAGAATGAGTTGGTATAAGCATCACGTAACAGTTACTATAATCTGCTCTGCTCACACCTGTGTTACAACTTTCAATACAAAGTAATGATGTGTCTGCCTTTATTCTGACAGCAGTCTGTCAGACAAATTAGGACACATAAACCTTGCAGACATGTTTATTAAATATAATGGATGGACAGCTTGGGTAGAGCAGTTTGGATACAATATTATAAAGGCAAAGTTGATGGTTAGGATATGTGCAGAGGAGGGGCAGTATATATTGGATAGGGAAGAGGATGGATGTAATGAACGGGGTTGGGGTGATAGAGGAAGGTGGTAGAGGGTGATATATAATCCATTTTGGTGACCAGAAGGAGCAGCTGAAAGAAGGAATAGATGATAATTTATTTCTGGAATAATGGTACATTACTACAGACAAAATGTAAATTTGTACTTTGCATTTTGCCTTGAAAACTGCAAAAATAAATGTGAATAAATATAGATTAGATGGGTGCTGGAACTTGACTTCGAGTCCTGGTAGTTTTGAGGTCTCCCATGTACCCTTATTCCTTTCACTCCTCCATCTCAAGCAGTTTTTTACATTTTCAAAGATGTTATAATTATGCACTATAATTTTTTAAAAGGCATACATTTACAAAGCACTTTTAGATGGCATAGGGTTCAATAATTTTAGGTTTATTTTATGGTTTTTGGAAAGTACTATCTATGAATTATAGAACAAATTATCACAAATTCTAGACTGGGACTAGTTTCATTTAATTTATTCAAGACTTGCACAAGTTTTAATGCTAGACATTCTGTCATGATTACTGTATCCTCTTTAAAAATCTCTCTTCACTTCTGAAATCTCCATTTTATTGCCCTGTATTAAACATTGTGGGGGTTTTGAAGGATGTAGCTGTCATATGGCTGTACTGTGCAAGAGGCATCTTTAAAGCAATTTAGTACATTATTAAGTGTTTCCCTTGGGTATCTTAAAGCAGTTGTGTAAAGCTTTTTTCAGGTAATTATTTGTTGACACTTCAGGCTGATTTGTTGCTCTTGACATCAAAGGACACAAATACCAGCATTAAAATCAAATCGTTCTCTTTCAAATTCTTTAAAAAGGGGGACCGGAGGGTGTGCTCCAATTACAGGAGAGTCAAACTCTTAAGCCTCCCTGGTAAGGTCTATTCAGGGGTCCTGGAGAGGAGGGTCCGTCGGATAGTCGAACCTCGGATTCAGGAGGAGCAGTGCGGTTTTTGTCCTGGGCGTGGAACACTGGACCAGCTCTGCACGCTCAGCAGGGTCCTAGAGGGTGCATGGGAGTTCGCCCAACCAGTCTACATGTGTTTTGATGAATTGGAGAAGGCGTTTGACCGTGTCTCGGGGGGGCCTTGTGGGGGGTTCTCCGGGAGTATGGGGTACCGGGCTCTTTGATACGGACTATCAGGTCCTTGTACGACCGGTGTCACAGTCTGGTCCGCATTGCCGGCAGTTAGTCGGGCTCGTTTCCGGTGAG